GAGCAACCGTATTCCGCGTGTCCAACGAGGTCATTTTCCATCCTCGCTCATGGTATGGTTGGGAGTTTCTTATTGGGGCTTAACAGAGGTACATTTTTGTGAGAAAGGTGTAAAAACGAATGCAGTTGTGTATCAAAATACAGTCCTGACGAACCTTGTGGAACCTGTTTCTCATACTATGTTGAATAACAGGCACTGGGTATTCCAACAAGATTCGGCGCCAGCTCATAGAGAGAAGAGCATACAAGACTGGCTGGCGGCGCGTGAAATCGACTTCATCCGGCACGAAGACTGGCCCTACTCCAGTCCAGATTTGAATCCGTTAGATTACAAGATATGGCAACACTTGGAGGAAAAGGCGTGCTCAAAGCCTCATCCCAATTTGGAGTCATTCAAGACATCCTTGATTAAGGCAGCCGCCGATATTGACATGGACCTCGTTCGTGCTGCGATAGACGACTGGCCGCGCAGATTGAGGGCCTGTATTCAAAATCACGGAGGTCATTTTGAATAAACTTTAGTGTCATAAGAATCTATGTTTTGTTAAGTTCATTTTGGTATATGAATGGTTACATAATGAATAAACTTGTGTCAATTATTTTACATTAAACATTTGACAGAATTTATGACCTGACTAGGTATATGAAATATATAATATATAAATCTATTGTAATAAAAGGTTTATCTAAGAATAGTATGTAAAAAACAGGCCGGGATTGCGCCCGGAACTACACTAATTATTATTATTATTTTTGTTGCCCTTGTAGGCAGACGAGCATACGGCCCACCTGATGGCGAGTGGTTACCGTCGCCCGTGGACTGTGTTTAAAATCGATACTCGGAAGGAAAAAAACAAAAATAACTACATACATAATAAATAATAAAATAAATAATAATAGAAAGATACTCGGAACAAAAGGAACAAAAATAAATACATGTCCATTTTTTATCTTAAGAACATTAAGACAGTGAAATCTGCGCAAGATTTTGTGCTAGGTATAAAATTATTCCAACACTGAGATACATTCTGCTGTTATAATTGCTAAATTCCTGAAAATCATTTCAAATCAAGTAATTTAGCATTAATGTTACTAAAACTCAACTGCTTGTGTAAATAGCAATTAATTCATTATAATAAATCTAAATCTCTATTTTTCAAAATATTTTGAATGTATGTACATATTTATTTCTACCGTATTGTAATTTGAACACATATTTCGGTGCCTACTTTTTTATTCATAAACTTAAAAATCGATCATACGATTCTTATCTTTTAAAATGAGGTTAGAATTATTGATAAGTTTATTATGAATGGACGCAAAATTCAAACTATGTTTAATATCGATCAACTTATTTAATATAAGTAATATAATCGAACATGTTTTATTTATATGCTACCACAATTTAATTCCACTGTATAAAATAATTCCGAAGACATTGAAAGGTCAGACTTCAAGGACTTTGAGTATACATAATTTACACACTTAATATAATCAATAATGAAAATGGAGACAACGATAAGCATTCTTAATGAGTCTGTTTTAATACAAGTGTACATTTTTATATTTATGACACCCGCTACCGTGGACTAAAGTGAGCCTATGGTTGGTGATCTGGATTATTTTCTTACATTCACAAAATGAGGTTTAAGGGGATTCCGTCCTGGCTTATACACACACTGTTGCAAGTTTTTAATGGTAATTAATATGTTTATTATCTTATAGTTACAATATATCGGCAACTGCACAGTGTACAGGTATAGGTATAGGTAATCTTTTTATTTTTTTATTGCTTAGATGGGTGGACGACCTCACAGCACACCTGGTTTTAAGTGATTACTGGATTCTATAAACATCTACAACGTAAATGCGCCACCCACCTTGAGATATAAGTTCCAAGGTCTCAAGTATAATTACAACGGCTGCCCCACCTTTCAAACCGAAACGCATTACTGCTTCACGGCAGAAACAGGCAGGGTGGTGGTACCTACCTGCGCGGACTCACAAAAGGTTCTACCATCAGTAAAAAGTAATCTGGCTTTAAGTAGTTAGCGAAGCCAATATATAGTTCGACATGAATGCCGCCATTCATTTTGAGATGAGATCTTTTAAACCTACAATTCAATTTAAAAAAAATCTGTTCTACCTTTCAGCCTGTGTGTGACTACTGGGTGGTAGAAATGGGCAGGCATCTATTATTGTCTAATGTCTACCCACGCGAGCTTCCAATACATCCTGATACCAGTAATAGGGAACATACTTTACAAAACCTCTGTATTTGATTTTGCACGATGCTACTCCTTCATTATGAAATTTTTTCATGAACTTGTTGACGTTAGAATAAAATAGATTCTTGTCACTTTATGTGAACACCAGTAGGTACCTATAGACAAACTTGATATAAGTATCGGGCGTCCTACTCAATAGGTCAGGAATGCTTTTCTTATATTACGAAATAGTTTTAAAAGTACATATTTATTCACAGCTACAAGTAATTCAACTGAAGTAAAATTAAGTGTAACTTAAATGAAATTCGTTTTACAAAACTTTTAGTAGCACGTTCTCGTGATGTCGCTTACCATAAATACAATGCTTAAAATGATTTGCAATAAATATTTAAGAGTACCGTCAACTTTATTTTTAACAACTATATTTATATACAGACATTTGAAAACTATTAGGAAACGCGGTCAGTAATAGGTAATTGCATGCTAAATTACCGACTTCCCACATGCAACAAATTTTAAAACGCAATCGGTATTTGCCGATACGATGGGCTGTTAAAACAAAAAAGACAGTGATAATTCTTGTTCTGAAATCTGGTTTTCGCCAGTTACGAATGTTTTTAAGACCTGTTTTTATTTATTTAAGACTCTTGTTAAAGAGTTCGCGATCCTCAATATTGATAAGTTAATGAAATTACAAACGAAACGTAACTAAACACAAAAAGGTGATTTTGTAAAGCGAATGAATGTTCCCCTTTCGGATGCGTCTTTTCATTCGAGAATTTGGAACAAAAAAGTGTACGGATCCGATGTCAATAACCTAATGTTTTTTGCAATGACTACTTACTTGTTCAAGGTTCATTTTCTTGCTCACACAAAACATTATCTTACGCGCATAAAGACGGATTTTTATTTCAGCGTTATATCTTAAGTAAACAGAGGAACACTATGGCATTCGTGATATGCGATTCAAAGGAATGCAATTAAACAGTGAAAGTTTGAGGTTCTGAAACTTCAAAACGGTTACTTAATTATACAAAATGATTTGAATAATATTTACACAAGAAAGCACAGTTAATACAGTATAAAGTTTTCACTACGATATTCATTTAAATATATATATTTATAGCATCATATTAATTGAGACAATCCTATTACACAATGCATTATTTGTGCATTTCGTTTCAAATCTTCTCAAAGCTTTTTTGTGTTATTTAACTTCTTGTCTAAAGAGATTTGCTCACTAGCTTATCAGACTTAATTGCTTCATACCTGCTCTTCAATTAACGAAAGAAATATCATGATGTCGGATGACATCATGTGAACTTCGCATTTGTATGCTTTACTAAAAAATTAACAATGGAAATGTTTTGCAGATTTCAGATTTTATAAATGGGGATAGAAATCAATTTGAAACATTGTAGACATATGTGAACGGGTTTCAAAGTACTAGGTATACCTGTTCTAAATTTTTTTAAAGACATTCCTCAATATTAACGCAATGTACCTAACTCTTTGCATTGTCAATTTAATTCCAAACGTGAAATATTTAAAGGATAGGCTACAATACAGTTGAAACTTCAATCTCACGGCTCTATTTGGTGTCGGTATTTACATTGTGATGTCTATAGACCTCCACTAGCTACTTAGCACCATGACCGAGTGAAATATTTCCGTAAAATAGAAAACCACACAATTTTTTTTCCGACTCAATTGCTTCCTTTTTGTAAAATTAAGATAAATACCTTTTTTGTAATTTAATAATCAATATTAATGATAATCAATAAAATACCATGCGTATCTACATAAAAACAATCTACTCGTAAAATTTGCACTCTAGTATTATTTTCTCTACGTCATATCAAAAAAAGTTGTGTAAAATGAGACTAATGTGCTATTAAATTTGTCCTCATCGAAATGGCAATTTCACATTTGATATTCAAATTTCAAATTATAAAATAACTTCTCTCGTTTTAAACTATAAACGCATATATGGAACACAAAATACAAAAAATTAATAACAAACTTTCCTTGTGATGGATTACCAACCCAGTAATTAGTATCTTAGTTGTCTGGACCATCGGTATGAGCTACAAATGGAATAAATATTCCAATATGAATATGCACGGCACATCGTCTGTGGCCGAGTGCACATTCTGCTTAGCAGACTTTTATGAATTATGGTCGAAGCTCTATGCGTCGAGAACTGTGTTAAAATTGACAAGGCGACAACTGCAATGATCGCAATTCAATATGCTGACATGTTTTACTAAAGGGTCGAAGTTCGTATGTTCCCATCGATCAAATGTAATTATAATTCCTATTAAACGGCATCAATTACGAAATGTTCCATTCTGTTGTGGGTACAAGTGTGGTTTAAATACCCTCACAAGTAAACTAATATCGTTATGAGATCAGGCTGTGGCTGAGACAAAGAATAATAATGTTGAAAACTAGAGGGTTGATAATTGATGATAGGTACAGTATTCTTTTTACGATCTTTAACATATTTATACTTTTTCACAGAATATCTTTATTTTTTAATAATTGTCAAAATTACCAAGATCCCGGATTCGTAAACTTTAAACTTTATGGAAGTATTTTTAAGTCTAGAATAAAAAAAATTTAGATACATTAAATGCTTAATTTCACAAAGATCGTTCCATAATTTTTAACTTACTATTGAAGTATTGAAATATTTAGTCCTTGACAGTGATTTTAAAATAATACAAAATTAAGTTGATTGTCTGCTTGAACATTAACCAATAAGACTCACCTTCGACATTGCGTCAATTGTATTCAGAGAGCTCTGTACACCTTCTCACTCGTCCATTTTCCTTAAAAGCCTTCCGGGCCGTATAGGTAATGTCTTGGTACACACACTGATTAAGCGCGGACGTTATCGCATAGCATCCTCGAGGCGCCGTTTCGCGGCGGAGACCCGATCAATACTGTGACTGTGAGTCGGTATGTAGTTACCGGCGGATAAGGTAAAAAACAGAGTTGTTACGCGTGCGCGCGCAAACTGTTGTTGACTGACATGGCGCATGTGTGTCGATTGGATGGCACGGTCGCACGGCCTGCAAGCACATCTATATACATAGTATTATTGCACAGCCGCAACAAGCTAAGACATCATATCATGGCTTCAATATATTCATCTGCTTTGGGTAGAACTGATGTGGAAGAGACGAACAAAACACACAAGTACTTAATCATACGTACAAACGCTATTCCTGATCATGGAACGGATGTAGTTTAAATGTATACAATTAGGTTTGTAGGTAACTCGAAGTCTTGCAAACGATCTGAATATTGATAATGCGTCGTTGAATAATGTCAAAGTACCGGAATACATTCAGTGAATTTTATGTGTGGAAATTCGATAAACTCCACACAACAGTACTACACCAACCTTAAAAAAAAACTATCACGTAACCATTACAATTTGCCTATAAAAGTATGAATATATACAATAAAACACCTTAAATATTACAAAGTTTAATTATGAAATCTTAAATTGGTTGGAAGGCTGTTATATTGTGTAAGTGATGAAGGCAAAACAAAGACTTCTATTCGTTATTAAACCTAATAAGACCATATCATTGTTATGAATAACCCTTCTGGGCTTATATCAACTCCTATACTTATTTCATTATTCTTAATACCATATAAATATCTTTAACAGTGAAGAATTATTTTCACTCGATCGTGAAATCATCATGTATTTATTATTATTACAACCAATTGTTGATATTAATATTACGACCAACATCTTAAGAACTCTCGTTATCCAGTTGGGCTATGGGCCTTGTACGTTCGAGGCTGCGCCCCACGCTACCGTCACTATAGCGCGTTGGCACCAGGAGGATGGGACGACGCGTCTTACTGTGGATGAACAACCCGGCCAACAGTGTATCACGTTCCAACTCGGCAGGCTGGTTCTGACCCAACGAGGTACCACAAAACATCGGCGACCCCGCCGCTGTAAGTATGTCCACGCCCTACCGCGGTGACCGGCGTCGTTGGTCGTCGACGATTGCCTCGACGACCTGTCGGTAGGGCGTGATGCCGCGGCCACGAGTCTGGTTGTAGTGTTGACCGCGGAAACCACTTTAACAGGGGTCTGACCCTGGGCGGAGATCCTACGTTGGGTGACAGATTGCAAGGAGTTGTTTGGTGCGGTAGAGCCCTAAAAATATACTTAAGCCCACGGTGTACTCCCAACATCTGCAGACCGTCAAGTCCAACCACGTGCTCTCTAGGCGCGGATACTTCATTGGAGGTTCGGCCCCTGCCGGAAAAAGGGGCATTGTTTAGATTACATATTACCAGTAAATAAATAAAAGAATAAAAGTCAAAAGGAGGTGTCCCAGCTAATGCTATTTAAAATAGATGCATCGAAGAGCGCTGATTTTCAGTGACTCCCGGTCCACCAACACCAATAAAAAATAGAAGAAAAGTAAGGGTGGCTTGGGAAAACTAACGTATGAACACAGCATAAAACCACTAGGTACTAACAATTTTAGTTTACAAAAGTTTTAACTTTTATGCTCGGGCTACAATCTGTCAGTAGCCTAAAACGAAACAAAAAAGAAAACAAAGCACTATTATACCATTACGAAAAAGCAACTCTACATTTGCATTTGCAATTATCCCCAATTTGTAATTTGCGTCCCAAATATGTAATAATAAAAGAATGAATTATGTTTAGATAGAGTAGTAAAGCAATAATCAAAATTCCCAAGGGTACTTACTAATCTAAGCAGAAACGATCGGACCGGACGTCTTGTATACACCTAATCAATTTTCTTGAAACAATATAATTTACATTTTTTATTATTTTAATATATTAAGTATATATTAATTATACCTTCTTCATTAATAGGAAGCATTGGATAACTTGTCCGGTAAAATAAATAAAAAAGATGCTACATTTGGCTTTGTCCACTACCCAAGCCTCAATTGACTGTGGCTCCAGAATGAGAAACCTCCACATAATTTTCACCATAAAATGAGCCCTTTCTCTATCGGTCGATCAAAGCTTTTGCCTATCTATCTGTGCCGGTGCAAACAGATCAATAACAGTTTTTCAGTTATTTACTGAACAACCCAATCTTTATTTACTTCGCCAAACATAATGTTGACAATGAATTAACTTTTATGGCTCCTCTTCACAATCGGCCATGATGGACCAACAAATGATCGTCCATCATCATCGTCATGATCGGGCGATCATCTCGACACTCTCCACACAATCGTGAACGTTCATTTACTGACTGTAAGACGTCTAGGTATTGATGATGGAAATCGAGGGGATCGCGGCTGCGGCAATATGTTTAGTTAGCTCATATAGTCATTTAGTTATTGTGCGCGAAAAAAGAATCGTGAATACTCTTTTTTTTTATTGCCCTTATAGACAGACGAGCATACCTGATAGTGAGTGGTTACCGTTGCCCATGGATTTCAGCAATGCTTGGTGCAGAGCCAAGCCGCTGCCTACTGATAAGGTGGTGGGTTGTGGCTATCAATCGGAACAAAACAAGGTCCACGCAACCATAGTTTTGTAGTCGACACAATTGACACACACTTGAGACAACTATATCCTGACTAATCGGCGATGGTGTGGACGCTCACACAATCATGGGCCATCATTGCTTTGATGTACCGGCACCACGCCGATTGCGCACGATCATACGCGATGATGGCCGATTACAGACATTTATGCCCTCTACACTATCATGAGTTTCTATAAACGCCCATCATGGCCGATCGTGAAGAGGAGCCATTACAATTTTAAAATTCTGATTTAAAAAAATAGAAGAAGTAAAAACGATATAACGTTATAACGGGAAATTTCAATCTTCTCAATAATAACACATAGATGGTTCATAGATGGTGGTAGTCGTCGTGGCCTAAAGGATAAGACGTCCGGTGCATTCGTATCTAGCGATACACCGGTGTTCGAGTCCCAGGCGGATACCAATTTTTCTAATGAAATACGTACTCAACAAATGTTCACGATTGACTTCCACGGTGAAGGAATAAGATCGTGTAATAAAAATCAAACCCGCAAAATTATAATTTGCGTAATTACTAGCGGTAGGACCTCTTGTGAGTCTGCACGGGTAGGTACCAGCACCCCACCTTTTTCTGCCGTAAAGCAGTAATACGTTTAGGTTTGAAGGGTGGGGTAGCCGATGTAGCTATACTGAGACCTTAGAACTTATATCTCAAGGTGAGTGGCGCATTTGCGTTGTAGATGTCTATGGGCTCCAGTAACCACTTAACACCAGGTGAGCTGTGAGCTAGTCCACACATCTAAGTATTAAAATCTTTTTTTTTTAATTTAGGTAGGCAGTGGCTTGGCTCTGCCCCTGGCATTGCTGAAGTCCGTGGGCAACGGTAACCAGTCACTTTCGGGTGGGTCGTATGCTCGTCTGCTTACAAGGGCAATAAAAAAATATATTTATTTCATTCCATAGCATATAGCATTCCAGCATACCTTTGGTCTAAAAAATACGGCACGTATTGTAATTTAAATTTACATATTCACGCTATTCAAAAATTCAATATTGAACAGAATTGAACAAATGTAGTAAGAAAGAAATTGAAAATAAAAGAAATGCTACTTCTTAAAAATGATGAGTTTTAAATTAAATTACATTATGCTTAGACTCATGTTAATAAAGTTTTATTAAGCAATTAAATTTACGTTTAAGTCGAAAAATAAGACAATTCGAACAGTGCTCTTTTCTCCCTCAAAAAAGGCAGTTAATTTTCAATTTGACATCACTAAACTTGTCATAAACAACACTTTGTCAAATGTCAGTGGTTTCATTAAGTTATTTTATTTTCATAATATCTAGGCATTGATTGTTATTGTAATTTATTGTAGTATTTGCGGATTTGTTAGTCATGTTTTGAACCATACCGCTATTAGTGACCAAAAAGAGGATAATCACTGAAAACAACAGAACAATCGAACATCAGAGGCTATTAAATACGACTACAATATGGTATCCTCAGCCCTTACTATTCAAGACATTCTTCCTTTTAGAGCCAACAATAAGAAAGTTGACATGGATGCATTTTTGCCGTTTATTGTTTTGCCATTCCTACTACTTATAGCCACTATATCTCGAACGATTACTATAATAATTATGGTGGTAATTGGTATGGGTGTTTTGTATGTGTATACCAGACCACGACAAAAAAATAGGTCAGTTCTACTTTATTCAAACTTATACTTTAAACTCATTATTAAAGCATCAAGTGAAAAACTTGTCATTTACATTTGGTATTTTATTGTTGATTAACACTCAATGTAAAATAGACTACCATTTGCATTGATTTATGCTTAAGTGTATAGACTCTAATAAACATTTAAAATCAATTGTGCCGTGAGTTGTCTCTGAACCATGAACAGCATTAAAAATTGCTCTAAGCATTTATGCAAAAGATATCTTCAAAACACAAACTTTGTTATAAATAGTGAAACATTTTTCATAAGTACACTTTTAAATGCAATAATCAAAGTTATTTCGCTAACTTTAAAAAAAAATCACTTTTAAATTTCTCTTTAGTATAATATTTTATCTACAGAATCTATAGTCTTTGAGATGTCAAATTGAGAATTTAATAAAACAGCAAAAACTTTGCAGCTGGGTACAGCTTATTGAAACAGAAAGTATTAACTAATAGTTAAAGATAAGGCATAACGTAGGAACAATATTTTATAATTATGAAGTTCAAAAATGTATTTTAAATTACAGATCACCATTTTTCTTCTCTTGGACAATGTCCTCAGCAGTAACTATGTTCCTGGTGTTTGAAATTATAATTCTGGGTCTGCTTGAGGTCACTCAACTGGAGAACTTCATATTTCTGCTATTATTAGCATGCACATGTTACTTTTTTTATAAAATGAAGGCAATCGCAGATTTTGAACTAGCGACTGGTTCTTCGAAAGGCAAAGAATATAGGTCTGTATCTATTACTGTGAAAGTAGAAAAACTTATTAGTATACTGAAATGGAATAGATATACTGGTAGTAACACAAATAATTAGCCGGTACCAGCAGATATCTCCATTCTATTTATATTGTGTGTTCTGGTTTGAAGAGTGAGTAAACCAGTACAGTTGACACTTTGACCTCCCTTCGCCAGATAGGATGCTGTAATCAGATTGTGTTATTTTATGGGCTTTGGGAATACTTTCGTCAGAACATAATAAGTTAAACCATGAAATATTTTTGTTTGATTCATATCCCAGAAGTTGAAATTGTATAATTAAATATTTTTTCAGCCCAGTACTAACTTCTGATTCATACTACTGCCAAGTATGCCAAATAGAAGTCAACGAAAGATTCTTTCATTCAATATGGTATGCAAAAACTATCAATTATTCTCTTTATTATAGAATACCTTTCTAATCTCTTTTTGTTCAGGCTAAGTGAAATGACCTTTAATTTGGAAAAAACTGGGAATTATTAGTTAAATACTCCCCCTCCTCATAATACACATATTACTATTACTCCACTCCACTACCTCAATATCCACTGCATCATCTATCTAATTTATTTCCTGGTTGGAGTCAGTATCTTAGTTTTATTTTATTTTTGGCTGTATATGTTTCTGTATGTTTCTAAATCAAATAAATCCTAGAATGGGACCATTAAATGTTCAACACTTATTCCTAATGTTTATTTAAAGGTACAAAAGTTACTAAACCTAAAAAGTCACTGGTTGAGTTAGTACATCAAATCAAGATGATACAAGCTGCCAAATCATTTATTTTTAATATTCTTGACTTTTAGGTGGGACTGTTGTGTTTTGAGGCCTAATTACGTGTATTTCCTGGCTGGTCAGATATGTGCATTTGCAACACTTCTATTTGGAACCAACTTAGGCCTGACGACTGTGTGCCAACCATTTATTTTTTATGGATTAATATTATTGCCGGAGGATTGTAATGATGCATATTATGAGTTTGAGTAAGTTACATATAATATGTTCATATTTAAAATCAATTTAACTTTGTATCTTAGTTACACACCTAAAAGTCTAGTTTGAAGTCATGTCTTCCTAAAATGATAATCGTAAACTGTCGTATCTATTATCATATGCAAATTTCATGTATAGAAGACCAAAATTTGTAAAACATTCATTTTTAAATCTATTACCTACAACTGAAATCTGCCCATACAGACATTTAATTAAAAATCTGTTATCTATATATACATCACCCACACTAGCAAAGTGCCGTTTACTAAGCTTTGCTGTTATATATATTTTTTCTAAATTTCAGCTTATCACTCGGTTTTGTGACCTGTGTGTATGGTGTTGGATACCTTTTTGTTATTGCTTTAGTTCTAATAAGACAACTGCTCATCTATTTACCAAAATACAGTGGTAAGAAAATATTAAAGCATTAATGATTCCCCACCTGCCCTGGTAAAACTGGTAAAGGCCTCCAGGCCACCAGTAATCTCTCAAACGTAAAAAAAGAATTAATGTTAATAATAAATACTTCATATAAATTTAGTTCAATCATGTATTTATATTTGCTATAAGTAAAGTTTACTTAAATATTAACATTAAAAATATATACAAATTTTTGAGATTGGCGTGTCTCTCAAAGTTGCATAGAACCAGTTTGAACAGTTCATGAGACGGTTTCAAACTGTTTCAAAGTTTTTTATTTAAATCGTGATAGCATGTGAGCATGATTGGTTAAATTATTAAACATACTGCTCAATAACCCGAACTGGGATTTCCTTCTGAGTTATTAGTGCTAAAAACATACACATGCTACATAACAGATACAAACACATACCAGACATCTTTAACAAATATACTGACACCGATCGGAAAATGAATACGGACAGTGAGTGGTATATTAGTCAAGAGTTACAAACTCTTAGACATGAATCAATTGTTCAACTTCTTTTAACATTCACATAGAAATAATATGATATACATAACCAACCGACGCGGATGAATAGACCATGCTCATTTAGATTAGAACAATCTACTGATTTTTATGGTGTAAAACTAAACATATCAACATGTTGTTTTTTTTTCAGAACCCCAGTGGCGAAAACTTGTTAATGTCTTAAACGTGTGAAGTGGACAGAAAATTGAATTGAATGTCGTCGTGCCGTCTGAATTTGTTATAAATCGATTTGGCTTTGGCTATGAATTTAAATGAATAGTTAAAAAAAACACTTAAACTATGACATACTCGGATTTCAAATAATAAATAGTAAAATAGGCTCAATAAAATAGGTTTACTATGTAGAAATTTGTAATTCAGGAAAAACGAAACGTAGCATTTTCCAGGATAAAGTGTTGCTTGAGCCGCTGCCTAGACAATAACTACCGATTCTTTGTTACGTCAAACATACAGCGAACAACCCGTTGTATTTAATACAGAAGTTAATATACCCGTAGTTTCCCGGATGTGGTCATTACCACGATAAAGCAATACCCGCGTGAAGTTGGAAGAGCCCCTTAGGCTAACAACGATTAGGTTTTTTTTTTATTGCCCTTGTAGGCAGACGAGCATACGGCCCACCTGATGGTGAGTGGTTACCCTCGCCCATGGACTTCAGCAATGCCAGGGACAGAGCCTAGCCGCTGCCTACAGGTAGGGGAAAAAATCAGTACCTATCCGACGTGCTAATTCAGATTTCTATCTCAGCAAATTTTGATCAAAACATAAAGCTTCACATTTATATAGTTTAGCGTATAGCGTGATTAATCAAATCCCAAAAATTTTCTATGTTATCTAACTTGCATGCATTAACACGTAATATAAAATAATGTTAGGATTATATGAGTCGACTATTATCAAAGCCGGCAATGTGACTTTTGGACAATTATTGGTAAATCAGAAAAACGAATTATTGACTTTGTATTCCATTGGCAGTCACAAAACTCTTCTGAACGACATCTTAGATAAATATAATAAATAACAGGTTAAGTATTAACCTTTATTTAATGCAGGTTTTGAACCGTATTCTTTGAAGGAGACGATTATATTCAAATCAATCTGTATTGACATATCAATAACATTTTTTTGTCCAAATGCACAGATTGCCACCTTTGATAATAGACGACTCATATAAAGAACGAAACATACTATTTAAAATTAGATTTTTTTTATCTACATTTTCCGTCTAGTACATTAAAGAAAGTTATATTTTCGATAGCTTTGTTCGCATTCCATGCACCAGTAATTCGCTTATGTTGAAACTTTGTACTACAGGGTGGCCCATAAGTCCTTTGAAAAGTAAAATTTGAATAAAACGAACAGGGCGCGCGTGAGCGGTGCAGGGGAAGCGGGGGGAGTAACTTCGGTTTCTGGGAATTTAGTCGCGATGGAGCGTTTTACCGGAGCGGACCGTGCGTTTTGTGTGCGNATATTTGTGTTTATATTTTTCATGCGGCCAGCCGGTAGTTCCCCGCAAGTAGTTACTTAATTTTTTATTCGCAACTTTTGTAAAATCGCTAGTCGCTCGTAATTGTTTAGTAATATTTCATATTAATTTTTGTGTTTGAATTACTTAAGCACTTGTTTGAAGATAGTTTTATTATTTGTTTTAATGCGTGTTTAATAAGTGAAAGAAGGAATGGCGTCTAAATGAAAGTACAGTCCTCCTTGGATGCACTTTGAGGAGACCGCGCCGAAACAATGCGTCTACTGCTCTCGTATATTAACATTATTGTCGAGCTCAATTTGCAGTCAAGTCACCATATGAAATCCGTTCATGCCACAATAAATTATATTAAGTAAAAAATAAAATTATTATATTATTAAGTAAGTCAATCTCTGTCAAGTAATATAACAGTGTACAAAGTATGAACACATCACTTAGGTAATGATTCGGGTGTATAGATACAATGTATTCGTCATCACAGTATCTATTGAACGCACCGAGTAATGTTAAGAGTGATGTGTAATGTTTTCGAGTAATATCACCTGTCTGTAAAAGTGATGTCATATCACATTACATTGGGAAGTGATGTTTTGCGCAAGTCTATGCTTGAGCCGCTGCCTAGACAATAACTACCGATTCTTTGTTACGTGAAACTACATACAGCGAACACCCTGTCGTATTTAATACAGAAGTTAATATACCCGTAGTTTCCCGGATGTGGTCATTACCACAATAAAGCAATACCCGCGTGAAGTTGGAAGAGCCCCTTAGGCTAACAACGATTAGGTAATTTTTTTATTGCCCTTGTAGGCAGACGAGCATACGGCCCACCTGATGGTGAGTGGTTACCGTCGCCCATGGACTTCAGCAATGCCAGGGGCAGAGCCAAGCCGCTCCCTACAGGTAGGGGAAAAAATCAGTACCTATCCGACGTGCTAATTCAGATTTCTATCTCAGCAAATTTTGATCAAAACATAAAGTTTCACATTTATATAGTTTAGCGTATAGCGTGATTAATCAAATCCCAAAAATTTTCTATGTTATCTAACTTGCATGCATTAACACGTAATATAAAATAATGTTAGGATTATATAAAGAACGAAACATACTACATATTTACATTTTCCGTCTACTACATTAAAGAAAGTTATATTTTCGATAACTTTGTTCGCATTCCATGCACCAGTAATTCGCTTATGTTGAAACTTTATACTATAAGCACTTCAGTGTGCTTAGTACAAGTTTTTTAATGTTCTCGATTGCGTAAAAGTTAACTCAAATTTATATGGAGTTGGAACAGCGCCCCTAGCGGCAAACGTAAGCAAACGTTCCAACTCCATACAAAAACTCTCACTAAGCACACAGATAATAGTATCCGGCTTACGTAGGAAAAATGGCGGACAAGTCGTATCACCAAAAATAAATTAAAAAACGGCTTGTACGAGACGTTCTCGAAGCAGAAAAATGAATAAAAATCCCTCTTAAATTAAACTGAAAACAAGATTGATTAGCAGAGCTAAGTTCAAATACTTATAATTTGAGTTAGTTCGGAAATTTTTAGCAAAGTTGCTAACGGACCGAACCTTACGAGTCGCATACATTTAAATTGTAAATATGATTCATTTAAAAATATATATGAAATTTGTTAAATCTTGACATATCTGTAATTATCAACTGTTCTTTTAGGAAAAATATACTGTATTTGAAACCATAGATAATACACGTAAATGTTTGAAACTGTGAAAGCGGACCCTGACGAAATGGCACCAGTATTAGATAAAAAATACGTTGTTATTGACGTCTTGATAATGTATGCCAGTGTGAGGCTTTTTAAATCTACTAGTCCTACTAATAATCTTAATAGATGTCAATTCTAATAGTTCTATTAAAATCTTACAATCTTGGTACTATAGAAATCCACAAAATATAATATTCTAGTTTACAAAAAAGTGTTTTAAACGAAGATTTTATGAGATTACTATAGTTTTAAATCAGCTGGAACGTAACATTTACCAAAATAATTAAGAGCAAGTACCTGATAAATACTGTAACAGTAGAACAGCTTAGGCATAATAAGTATTTATTTATTTCATATAAATGTATAAATTTTTGTTTGATTTAATATAATAATATTAATCGAATGCCTAATTTAAGACAATAAATTTAAACACTGCAAAACATTTCGATTAACATATTTTATTATTCGATGAAGTTTCTCATAGAACACATATCATAATAAACTATTTCCGAATCATATAAAGACTACATTAGGTAAGTATTAGGTTAGTATTACTAAGTATTAGGTTTTACAAATTGTAAATATAATAAATAATATTTCTCTTCAAATTCCGTACTGAATAACACTGACTAGAATTATAAATTCAGTCAATCTATCAATGACTGTGACTTTTTAAAATTATTCCTCTTGCTTTGTGACACAATGCCCTTATTTATTTTCTTCATCTCGTTTACTTGTTTGCACTGATTCGGTTAGGGATTTTTATATTGTAAACAGAGTATTTTAACAGCCTTTTTGCATCCCGTGCCGTTTCGATGGTAACGAACCAACAAAAACCTTGACGTAACAACAATAAATAAAAACTTGCGTCCAGTTCCCATATTACAGAAATAGAACATCAGTAATACTCTGTCCTGTCATTCTGTCGCAGGCTAAATTTTATGGATGTATATTTTTGTTACATTTTAGTGTCCCGTTTTCGTTTTATCGAATTTTAATTCCAAAACCATCTCCAAAAAGTCCGTTTTTTACTAATGCATTGATAGAATAATTAATTCATATACTATGTACATACTAGGAATTATTTTATGGCCGATCAAAAATATGAGGCAACAGCTATTATACTACCATTTAAAAAAAAACGATCTATATGTGTATACCTACTTAATCTTATGCAATAAATATGAATAAATATTGGAAGGTATTAATTTACTCGGTCGCTTAATATATATTTCCTTTACTATTTTGTTATAAAGACGGAGCAAGAATGCTTGCTCGGGGATTAATTATTAAACCGTTTGATTCCTAATATTGTTTTTGTTAACATACCTACGTAATGTCTTCAAGTAACCGCCATAATACTTGCCCAAAAAAGATTTCGGAGTCACGGTCTGCTAAAATGTTAAACGTCGATATCTGAATATTGTCTTAACTGCCGTCTAATTTTCAATAGAAAATAGTTCTTGATATTTACGTTTCTTTAGTTGTATTTCAGATTTTTTTATATTGTAGCAAAAAGATAAAATATTATTGACCAATAAAGAACATACAATGAACAATCTGTTTAATGCGAGTTTTTCTTAATTTGTCGCTAGGGGCGTTGTTCCAACTCCATACAAATTTGAGTTAACTTTTACGCGATCGAGAAAAAACTCGCACTTCATGGTGTCTACTAGCAAAGCTTAAAAAAAATGAAGAACCTCATCAAGTATTTATATTATTGCTTAACGGACTCCGGGCTAATATTAATATATTAATAAGCCCATTTTATTTCCAATACCGTACAAAAAAAAAGGTTTTTCTTAAAAAAAATACAAATTTAAAACTTATGTTATTGGAATCTCACTTGGGGTATAGGCCTCCTCCAGCTTACTCCTATTCTTGGCTTTGCTTCTCCATTCTTTTCCTGTTGTTGCTATTACTTCGTCGGCCTCTTCTTTTGCCCATTAGACTCCTGGTTATGGAAATGCAATTTTACGACAAAATAAAACACAAACTATCCAATACTGTTTTTATTAGACTCGGTAAAAATAATATTAATTAAATTACGCCTAAAGCTAACGCTAAGCTAGGCGTTCAGCTTTTTTGACAAGTTAGAAATATATATGTTTATATAAAAAAATACCTTTAGTTAAAGATGGTAGCGTAGACTTGAGCTTAGTTTCATTATTAAAATAATTGACATAAAACTAGGCAGTCTGGTGACCCTCATTCCAACAATCATGCCCCTTAAGTACTATTTAGTATACTCTATAGTGTAAAGTAAAGTAATTAAGCAATAATTGGTTTAATTGAAATATCGAACTATGACAAAAAACGTAGCTACTATTGTGAAATAGTAGATGACTTTAAAGTTGATTGCAATACCTTAAACCAGTGAAACAATAAGAATAGGTAATCAGTCAGTCATCCGGCGGAGTGTAATCAGGGACGACTTGTAAAACCTTCTGTCTCCATTTGGCTTTCCTCGCCTCTTGCTCTCTCTTGAGTGCGTTCAAAGCCGGCAACGTACGCCAACATGTAAAAGTCTTAAACAGGAGATTACTGAAATGAAATGTAAACATTAACATTATTAATTACTAGCCGTACTCGCCCGCTTCGCTGCGCATTTAAAATTAACATTATTATTTATTGTCATTATTATTAGGGAGTCCAACACTCATATAAATATTAGCCTATCCATTAAGTACATGTATTTTCTACATGGATACCAAGTTTCAAGTCAATCGGATGCATGGTTCAGTAGTTACAACGGAACATCCGTAAAAACCACTAGATTTATAAATTAACCCTTAAATGGACGATTTTTGTTTCACGTTTTAAAAATATATATTTGTGTAATAGACATGTATTACTGTCTAGGAAAAATGAGTAAAAAAATCTAGACATGAATTTAATATACTTTTTTTCAAAATTCGTTCAGAAATAAGAACTAGTTGTCAAAATTAACAAAAAATTAAAAGAAGGTCAATTTTATCTGTGATGTTTAGTATGTTGTTTAAAAACAACATTGCCCATTTAAGGGTTAATATAGATAGATAACATTAAATTAGTATAGCATTTTCTTGTGTTTTCGTGAGTCGTAAACGTGATTAAAGCTAGTTGTATAGTTTAATCTATTGTCTTTCAGCGTATATTTAAATATTTGTATTTAGAAAGTACTTACTTATTAAAAGTAACGAGGGCCATCTCAGTGTATTAAAAAGTGTTTGCTGAAAGGTAACCAATGGAGATGGCGCCACAGTAGCAAGTTCAAAGATTTAAAAAACAACGCCGTAAACTATTAAAGTAGAATATTATATTAAGAAGGAAAGTAACATTTCCTACTTAAATAGTAATAAAAATGAATAGTTGAGATTTTAAATACTGCATGCATAGTTTTTAACTAGACAAGTCACGAAAAATAGTAAAATTTTCAACCCAGCACCCTTCACTCTGTTTAAAACTGCTATATTCATCACATTTCCATTTCCTACACTGACGCTATTTCGATGAGTCTTCCAACAATAACTTAATGTTTACAGGTACTTTTTCAACTTGTCCCATATACAAGACAGTCCTCCTTACTTCTACTGTCCACATATTGAAAAGCCTGTTATAATGTCAATACGATTTGGGGATGTCTCCCATTAAACTATTCTGACCGGAACGCGGCCGGGAGTCTTAGAAGTACCGAAACACGAACATAGTCAAACCGGTCCACAAATACTCTCTGATGCATATACATATCATAATATACTTATTTGAGACATCTTTAGTATTTAGATAACACGTAGTCATCAATGGTTATAATAATAGGTCCCAACTCAATTTATGTAAATGAAACATTGCATTTATTACATTAATGACACTTACCCTCAAACAAATAATTGGATTAAAAAATTACTGGGTATACACTGATAAAATAATTTCTACAGAGAATGGGCGCAGTGTTCTTTGAGAAATATAACAGCGCACTACGATCGCCAACCCGTGTGCTAAACGTGACGATTATGATACCTCTTCAAGAAATTCAATAATTATCTAGAAAGTTTAAGCCCGACTCATGAGCCATTAAAAGCTATAACGGCTTTCCAATTTTCTTTTTCTTTTTTTTGTTACTTTTTTAAGTGAACTAGCTCACTGCTATACAGGATATATGAAAAACATAGTTAATATTACAACGTAAATGCGACCACCCTCCTTGAAGCATGAGGTCTCAAATCTCAATCATTATATTCTATAACGCTTGCCACACCCTTCAAATTTTACCTTTCATAGTATGCATCAGCTCTTTGAACTTTAATTTCAAACTCCTTTCGTAAAACATTTATTCCTTCTTTAAATTTTCGAAACATAAAATTAGTAACGTAGTAGTCATAGTAATCCTCGGCTACTTGCATTTTCAAAACGAATTCATAATGATTCTGTAAACATGACCAGTGATAAAATTAATTACTAAACATATTTCTTAATAATTAAACAATGATTATATAACAATATTAACTATAATATTATATACCTTCTTAAATCCTTCAAAGTATTTTCTTAGTACTTTTTTTCGGTAAAAATTTTGTGCCACATAATTTCTTTCGAAAACCATATCTTCTGTATACCACATGAAATTTAAGAATACGTTTTTCTTTAGTTGGAAATTATAATGTGACTCCGCCATCTCTACGTTGTGTCGTTTTATTTCTAATAGCTTTTTTAATGGTCTGATAGCATAATTAACCATTAAATATCTCTCGTAGTGTAGGTCAGCCATCACTCTAAGAGCTCTCATTCTTTCAGTGTATTGCTTCCGTCTAATGCTTTCTATTTTATCCTTTTTTCTTTTTTCACGCAATTCTGTAATCCTCCTAAGTTTTTCTTCTTTATCCATTTCGGCCTTTGATAATTCTTCCTACAGTAAAATTAAATTAATATATAAAAGTTGATATTGTTTTTAACATTATCGGTGTATGACTGTGCCGCAGAAGTAACTAAAATGATTAAAAAACTAATTGGGGATAGATTTTAAGTAACCCAAAAACTAATTGATGTTCGTTGAAGTATGCATCATGGCGGAACTGATATGCTATTTTGTTTATTATCATAAAGGTCCGGAAAAGTTTGTTTGGCGATGAAAAATTATCTACAATCTATTACGTTGGTCGGGGCACTTAATTTGCAATAAAATCTACATAACGTATATTGCATATTATAAGACTAGGTAGTACCTAATCCAGGCATGGTTGCATGAGTTAAATCACGATTTGAGGAATAGTACCTACAACAAGTCACCGGCGAAAACCGACGATTGAGTGCCATCAAGACTTTTGACTCATCTCATTTAACTGCTTTTTGGGTGACCATCGCTCTTCTTAACAATCCTCCGCCGATAAACATTTTGTAAATAGCGAACGCAATTTGAGCACACGGCACCCTTGAACGGTACTCTTTGATGTTCGAGGTGGTTGCACACCTCGCTGCGTGCTTACGACCTTGAAATGAACTACTGCAGAGCCCGACTGATGTGAGCTGTCGCCATCGCTCATGCACGTGCGTACATTCAGGGGACAGCCAAGCGGCTGCCTACTGTTAAATACTCCTGAAGCCTCTTTAGAAATAGCAAATACACAGGTAAGACAAGAGCGAGAAGAATTCATGGAAACACTTTGTGATTGAACACAGAGGTTCCAGATAGCAAGGTTAAACATCGCTTCGGCAGCGGGTGGTCCGTTGATGAAATGAACACGACGGTATCACCTCAAATAGCACCATGGAACATATGGTGCAAAAAAAACAGATATGACCAAACTCCCTCTGTAGCCTCTAATTTTATCTAATATCGAGAATCGGAAGAATTCCTTTCTGTATGGAGTGAAATAAGAATTGACTAGTTCGCCCCGTAAAAAGGTGACCTGTTTCACAGATTTTTTCCCCCTACCTAATCGTCGGTAGCCTATATTTATTCCACAGCGCTAAAAGCAATCGCGAATACGACACTAAGGGCTCATACGCACTACGCCGCTACCCGCAAACCGCTCCGATCGCTCGGAGGTCTGCGGCATTTTTTTTTTGTCTACCTATTCTAGTGCCCTCGAAGGGTCATATTAGATTCACCGAGCGAGTGGGTGAGCTAGCCTGATGACGTTGCTAACACTAGTCCTAGCAAGAGCAGTGCTTCGCAGAATTTACCACCGCATCGAAAACGCGACCCACTGAGAAGATCCGGTGAGAAACTCAGTGGGCTAATTTACACGCCGATCTCTTCGTCGCAGGCGACGGGTTCGACGAGAACAGTGACTGGTGCTTGAGGTGCCTAAAAGCACCGATAGTGGATCGTGAGGATCCGAAATGTCGTGTTTTGGGCGACGTCAACTGTTTGCCATTAGCTCCGCAAGATCGGGTATGTAGCTACCGGCAGCCACAACCAGAGGGTTTTCGTATCGCGCCGCCTTTTCGAAATGGAAGGCCCTAAATTAATGGCGACCATCTGGTTGCTATTCGTATCGTGTGGCTCAATTTGCGGCGGCCAGCAATTGATTGAAACTTACTCCATTATCAATTTTATTAGATAAAATGTTCAATTATAATTGTTCAAACGTAATTATGCTCATTCTAATATATCCGAAAAATTAATCATACTTTTTTAATTTGAAAATTGTTTCAAAATTCTTGCTTTCATCTCGTGTTTGCATAATAACGATGTACCTAGAACTTCTTTATTTTATCTTTTTTAAGTAAATAGTCGTAAATAGGTGCGACTTCTTCCACATTCATCTTTGAGATGAATCGAAATGACCGCAAATAGCAATGGTTCTTCGGTACATTCGCATTGCGGGTGCACAGTGCGTATGAGTTCTAAGAGGCCTTCATCGGTTGGTTACTTACTATAATTTTATTAGCTTAAAGCGAGAATACAGAACCAGACATAAATTCTAAAAAAATGACGTTTTTTTAGGAATCTTAATTTAATAAAATCGATTAGTAAAAAGTAGTTCAATTTTAATGATTTTGTTTTAGGTATATCTCTAAAATCTTTTTTATTTATTTATTGCCCGTGCAGGCAGACGTGCATACGGCCCACCAAGCTGACAATTTTAAGATGTTTTACATCAAACTAAAGACAAATCATAACGCATGATGCCATATGGCTAACCGTTGATTATCAAGGAACCTGACATGTGTAGAAATAGGGATGGGCCGCTGACAATGTTTTAGTTAATGACCTGTTGCTTCAGTCTAATTCTATCTTCTTCCATTTGTTTACGTCTTTCTCGTATCATAGCATGTTTTTCTTCTCTTTCACGTGCTCTTTTCTCCATTCTTTGTAAAAACTGCGGCACCTTTAAACAATGAAGGACCAACGACGATTCTGAAAATAGTAAGCAATATAATTTTGGTACGTGTAGGTAAGGGTAGAAAACTCACCGCTCAACCGCTATTCAATCCAATAATAAACAAATAAATAAGTTTCCATGTTCTTACCATCAACTTCAGGTATCTTTAGTTCGTTGGTCAAACATTTTATTTTAGGCTTTAACTGTCTATCTATTTCGAAATAAGATTTACGAACTTCTTCTCTCATTTCATCGACTGACTGTCGCGAAGCTTCTAGAATTTTGTTGTATTTCAATTCTTCTATAATTCTATTCTGTTCTTCAAGTTTAGCCTTTTGTAAAGCAATTATGTGTTTTTGAACTTTGTACCTGCAATAGTGAAGTTTTAGTTAAACATTTATGTACTTAATTGATTTATGAAAAAGTCAATATAAATAATAATATAACAGTACAATCAGATATGTCTGAACATTGAAGGAAAGAAATAAAGTTGGACAGGATGTAATAGCAATAGAACCGTAAAACAGCGATCTTTAGAGTATTTTTTTTCTGCTTATTTGTTCGCGCATCATAATTTTCACAGGGAGGTTTTAACTAATTTAGTAGGTACATAGTATATATTTAGATGTAAGTAAATTTTTAATGTATTTAATTAGCGATTACTTGGGATAGATTTGGTTCGTTAAAATTGTACGGTAAAAAAAAAATCGTCGTATCTCTGTCGATCAGATACGCATTCACGCCCAAATCGTTGAACCGACTTTAACGAAATTGAGTATGGAAATAGGTTGAATCCTGGGAATGCCATCTATTCATTCGAATGCTAAGAACGGTTGACACAATGTAGTCCGCATAAGTAAAGCTGCGGTTGGAAAGCTACTACACAAATAAATATAGATATCTCAAAGCAAAATTATAATATGACACAAACCTTTGTTGATAAGTTTTGTAGTCTTTAACCTGAGACTTTGCTCTACTTGTGTAATCTTTTGCTTGATTAATATTAGATTTTTTCTTCTCTAACTTTTCAAAAAATGTATTTAACGTTTTTTTTCTTTGTTCAACAAAAAAATCTTGTTTTCTTTTGACATAAGTTTTCCATTTTCGGACATATTTCATCGAAAGATACATTTTGCGATTGTTCATTTCTAGCCTAAACGGGACTATTTTCAAAACATTACTGATTTCATTGCAAATGTTCGAAGGTAACGCTAAAGGAACAAAATCTTTAGCAAATTGATTTTGTTTCTCGTTTTCATTATTAAGCAACTTAATTCCAACTCCATCCAGTTCGGGTTTCGAAGACAGTGCCATCATTACTAATAAATTTTCCAAATCCAAATCGTCGACAGCACCAGCGTGATCACATTCATCTGAGAATTCTGATTTTAATTCTTCTTTCTGAACCCCCCTATTAACGTCAACTTCACATATGTCTTCGATTTCTACATATTTACATTCAATCCGTATTATCTTACTGTCCAAATTAATTTCTGTACTTGAATCGTTATCTGATTGTTTTACGACTTTAAATTTTTCATCGACTTTAAAACCAGCTTTAAATTTTTGTGATTTTAGCCTAGCTATCATTTTAAAATCTTTATCATTTTCTATGATAAGCTCACCAGAATCTTCTGATAAATATTGATCAAAAAAAATTTCATCTTCGATTTCTCTACATGCTTTATCTAACACAAAAGATTTATTAAAAACCTTTCTTAATGTATATAAATCGAAATGTCTTAAAATTAAATTTCTTTTTGCATTCAGTTTCTTGGAACTGTAATTTAACTTTATTATTTCTTTATGACGCCTATTAAAATTAGATTCTTTGGTCTTCTTTATTGGCTTCCTGCAATAAGATTATTTTAATCGGTTACTTGAGTCGACTATTATCAAAGGCGGCAATCTGACTTTTGGACAATGATTGGTAAATCAGAAAAACGAATTATTGACTTGGTATTCCATTGGCAGTCACAAAACTCTTCGGAACGACATCTTAGATAAATAACAGGTTAACTATTAACCTTTATTTAATGCAGGTTTTGAACCGTATTCTTTGAAGGAGACGATTATATTCAAATCAATCTGTATTGACATATCAATAAAATTTTTTTGTCCAAATGCACAGATTGCCACCTTTGATAATAGACGACTCATATATGAGTTGACTATTATCAAAGGCGGCAATCTGACTTTTGGACAATGATTGGTAAATCAGAAAAACGAATTATTGACTTTGTATTCCATTGGCAGTCACAAAACTCTTCGGAACGACATCTTAGATAAATAACAGGTTAACTATTAACCTTTATTTAATGCAGGTTTTGAACCGTATTCTTTGAAGGAGACGATTATATTCAAATAAATCTGTATTGACATATCAATAAAAATTTTTTGTCCAAATGTACAGATTGCCGCCTTTGATAATAGACGACTCACTTACTGACCAGAAAACGTACACAATTTTACTGTTATCGCTGTTGATCTTGAGATATCTGTTACTGATGGTAGGACATCTTGTGAGTCCGCACGGGTAGGTACCACTACCCCAAAAAAAAAGATATTGATGGAGTGGTGGTACCAACTTCATCCACAACAGGAATTGGCAGAAGAGTTAGAATTAATTAATTAGATAGAAAATAGAAGACGAAGCAACGGCGGGTCTTAACAGAATGATCTTGATTCCTGCATCAATCTGAGCTCCAGCAAAAGGATTGCCTCCAATAGGTATTTCTAGCTCCTCAGTGTCAGGTTAGGGAATACAAGTCAACGCAAGCTCGCTGACTACGCTTTGTCAAATAGCAAACGAGAACAAAGCAATAAGGGATACATTTAGTACATATGAAAAGAAAGGTATCCCGGCGCCGCAATTTTAAGGAGTAGCCCTAGGATTTTTTTAAGAATATTACGATTCTTTTGGTCGTTGCTTCGTCGTTAAATACGGGAGATATTTAGAAGGCAAAGCCAAACTAGCTTCTGAAATGTAGGAAGTTCTCAAGAGAGCGAATCGGCATAAGGCTATAAAACCTGGACAAAGCTATACAAAACACAAGTCTGGTCTCGCATGGAGTACTAATACCATTGCTGGATCAGGACTCCTAAACACAAAGTGCGTCGGTTTGACTTGATACAGAAGATTACCATTCGGATTATCAATAATCCCAATCTCATCTGGCTTTGTGGTATCATTTTATCTTCCCATGTGTCGTTATAAACTACTAAAGAATTCACCAGAGATTAGGCAACAGCGCTCTCTCTGCACTGCGATTACAGGGTTTGAAACGTGGTTTGAAAATCAGTTTTACAATACAATTGAGACTTATTTATTATACACAGAAATATTACAAGAAGTAACCAATAAATGATATGTGCCAAATAAGCCAAATACGTTTTTTCTTTCAGAAAAGCAAAATCAGTGGAACATTAAGGAAAGCGGAAAAGTGTAAAACAAATCTATATTTTCCGGCACATATGTAAAATAATCTAAACCAGCCTTTAATCATAAGTACCTACAATTGCTCTGAATATTACTTAGGTACGGATTGTAGTATTATTCATTACAAGTTAGTTTACTTCAAAAATCCTAGAAATAATGGTGGAATGGTAATACAAATTTATATATAAATATATTACACCAACCTTTGACTCCCGATTCGACTCCTATTAACCTCAAATCCATTGACCTGGAAGACAACAAATATGACATTAAATATAGGTAAATAAATAAAAATGTCGGCTTCTCGCACTATACATTACTGCATTTACCGTGAAGTACCACTTTGATTTGTTTGTTTTTCTTGTAACATAACTGAGAAATGGGCAGTCACCACAACTGAATGTAGGCACAGTAAAATCATTTTGACACCTACACAGTTCAAGGTAACCATTTTTTGATCTCTTTGAACTTAAGATTTGCCTAATTCTAATAAAATTGATACTTAATAAATAGTAATAAAAAAGATAATTAAAGTAGGTAATTTAATCAACTTACATACATGATGTAATAGTTTATTTTTAATTCTCTTCTACTTTGCTTTCTTACCAGTTTTATTTGTGTGTTTACCAAGCTCAGGAGTAAGACTCAAAATTTTATTCTCTTCATTATTGAAAACAACAACGAACAAAACTACATAACTTTAAAATTGCCGCTTTAAACACGTCATACAAACAAATACCAAAGTTTTGTAGAAATTATTGGTCATTTAGTAGGAATTTTGAATCGAAGTCTAAATACATAAGCGTTGTAATAAATTAGACAGGTATATTTATTGAATCGATAAAAAGATTGTTTCCACAACAACATTTGATTTAATCAATAAAATAGAGCAGTGACGAATTTAGACTCGATGCCGCCTTAGGCATTATTTATCGCGCCGCCCCCAATGTTAGAATAAATTTTATTACATAATGTCGATCCAATATTTTTATTTTAAATTTAAAATATTATCATTATTATTTTATAAACAACAATCTGAGCTCACTTTGAAAAGAGACTATCTTTCCTTTCATTTAATTTAATTTCATTTTATCACTTATCATCGTGGCTTATAGAATAAAGACGTCCTATGCATTCGTGTTGAGCGATGCATCGGTGTTCGAATCTCAGGCGGGTACCATTTTTTCTAATGAAATATGTACTTGACACTTACGGTGAAGGAATAGCATCGTGTAATAAAAATCAAACCCACAAAATTATAAATTGCGTAATTACTGGTGGTAGGACCTCTTGTAAGTCCGCGCGGGTAAGTAACACCACCTTCCCTATTTCTGTTGTGAAGCAGTAATGCGTTACGGTTTGAAAGGTGGGGCAGCCGTTGTAGCTATACTTGAGACCTTAGAACTTATATCTCAAGGTGGGTGGCGCATTTACGTCGTAGATGTCTATGGGCTCCAGTAACTAATTAACACCAAGTGGGCTGTGAACTCGTCCACCCACCTAAGCAATAAAAAAAGGTCTCATATAAAATTTATATAAAAAATTTAAACCTATATAAAAGATTAGACTATATTGATGTCACACCATACAGTCACACCTTTGCCTTTCCAGTTAGAAAAATAAAACTACTACTGTTAAAAGTGTTACATACATGTCAAAAAGGTTTTATTTATATTATGTAGGTACCGTAAAATGGGGCGATTAGGGACAAATTCCAACTTTATGAGCAATTTTAAGGTAGTTGTTGATGTATATAATGCTAGATCAGGATCAAAATGGTTGAGTCTTGGGGGCGTCTTTGTTGTCTAATTTAAAATTATGCAACTAGCATTCCAGTTTAAGCAAAAAATGCAAAAATAGGTGTAATCCCTATTTACCCGAAAATTGCGGTTAATTGGGACGAAATGAGAAATTTGCTAGGGTTGGCACTACTTTTATTTTTATATATAGTTTTAATTAATTTATTTATTTAGTTGCACCAACAAAGTGATCATCAATAAAANAGGTATTGAGTCAGGAATACCGTAGTTCTTTTACTGATTCAGAAAACTAAATGTATTTGCCTTTACACGATGTTTCTGAAACAAAATATTACTTTCGTATTTCAGCAAAAGTGTGCTTCCTTACCGTTTCAGTACCATTAGTTGCTTTCCTTTGTTGTGTGATAATAACGATGGTTAAAGATTTTGAAGAAGCGAATAATACACACTGTAAAGTGCCAAATATATTTCCCTCAATATCAGCGTCTGTTGGTAACTTCGAACCCCAAAGTACGATATGGAAAACCGCAATTTACATACATGCACCTCTCAGGTTTTACATTATATCGTTGCGATGGAAATATTATAAAAAGGTTATTAGATCCGAATGTTTATTTTTAGTTAATTTAGCTGTAACTCTAAATGTGCTGGAAAACCTGTCCCTACTAGGCTTAACACACTGGACATCTTCTAGCAATTATCGTATGTATATTTTGACATCTACTTTTTAAAATTAGCATTATTTACTATAGTAAAAAGTGATTTTTATTTTTGCAGCATATCATGAATCTTGTTTCAAAACATTCATTGGTGCATCAGTATTCTATATGCTATTAACATGCATTATGCTTTCAAATTGTCGTCGGAGATCTAAGTTAACAAATAAAGAGAAATACTCAGTTAAGTTGAAATGGAGAGCTTTCTCTCTTAATGTTACTTCATTTGCATGTGCAGCAATATTCTTTTTAAGGCACAATAGATTCTGTGAGCCTTATGGTGAGCTTTTTTTCTTTTTTCTATGCTCCTAGATGAAAATGAAGCAATTATAAAATACTTTTTTTTGTTACAGTCTACTCAATGTTTGGTTTTTCGGAGTACATAGTAGTTATGAGCAACATTTTATTCCACTTAACAAGTGTGTACGATCTTCAAATAAAGTTCATTTATTTGACAAAAAGAGGCCTGATAACTGAGTAATAGTAGATCGGGAAAGAGGAAAAGATTATGAGAATATACTACATCAAATAACTTCAAATTGAAACTATTGCAACTTTAATTAGAATATAATTTTAATTTCAACAATTATAATTAATTACAATAATAGAAAACTTATTCAATAATTAGCTTATTCAAACCAATGGTTGAAGGCTGTGAAAAAGGTTGCTAAAGTGCAATTTACATTTTTAATATGTGTTTAGATTGTAGGGAAATGTCACCATGTTCTAGAATAACAATATTTTAATGGAAAACAAAGGAAAGAGTAAATATATAAATACTTTTACAATGAGAAAACCTCATTATAATAAGCTCATTTCCTGTTTCATTAACCAACACCTCGGCATTTAAATTTACTTGAAGTAACCTATTCCTCTTGTTTTTTTATAAAATTTACGAAAGGAAAGCTGACAGTCCCCAAGAGAACAATAGCCCAACAATCCAAACTAAAAAATAAATAAATTACAAACAAGATGAGAATATTGTACTTTAATACAAACTTCACTGTTTTTTCTTGATTTATTTGTAAATTGAGTTTGACATCATTGGCATTTTCTTTCAAAAGCAGCTGTCAATTACTAACAAAATGATGCAGCAATTAATGTCGTACTCTTCCTAAACAGGCATAGTACAAACATCACAATCACTGCATAAATGCAGCACCGCAGTGGTTTTGAACTGTTTAATATTTACTAACATACGGTTGGTACGCCAGCCTGAGAAATGACAATTTTCTTTAGAAAAAAACAGCAATTTAATTTAAAATATTTCATTGGTTCTTAAATTTATTCATCTCAAAAATTAGATGTGTATTGGATTTATGAAATTTTGAAATCAATGATAGATAATCAGCGGACTTAATTTGTTGATAAATAAGTATGGTATCTAATCTAACTTGAACTTATTTCAGGATTTTTAACAAAAATGAATCATTCGAAATGCCTTTAAAAGAACATTAAATTTATTAATTCAGATCCGGTATTATATTTAATAATATTTGATATGAGCAGTTATTAGTTTTATATTTAAAAATAACATAGTACATACCTCTGTTCAATTAAAATGCTTTCTAGAAAATGTAAAATATGAAAATAATCATGTTACAAACTTATTTAAAAGCAAATTTAAAAAGATTAAAAAAAAAATAAGCTGTACTTATTTGTAAATTCAGTATTTATTTTTGGATTTTAGCACCATTTAGTTTTGAGTAATAAATTTTAAATGCGTATTTTACATTTTATGACCATAAATCTGTTTACTTTTAATAGCCATTATTTAATTTTAGCCATGCCTATTTCAGTCTTTGATTACTTATTGTATAAAAATTCGTTCACAAATATTGTGAAGTGCTAAAAATAAATAATGGATAATAGAACTTCAATGATTAACAAGTGCAGAATTTTTTTTCGATTTCCGCGAGTCATCGACATGATTAAAATAAAATTTAATCATTCTGATATTATCAATATTTTTTTATATCATTCCTACTGCTATATTAAAACGATGGATGAATTAAGTTGATTTTTGCCTATTTTTATTGAGATACTTAAATATACAAATGTACATTTGAATTAATATGACATACATTCAACTAAGACTGAAATTGTGTTGTAGTTTGGGGATGGTGAACTGATGTCACCCGACTATATATCGCACCTTTGGAATCATAGAAATTCATTTCCAAATTTTTGAATTTCAACTTTAATTCAAAAATGTACTTAGAACGACCCTTTTCAGCGACTACTAATCAAATGTCCAAAAGCAGCATAAAAGGTACAAACTTATCCATCGGTCTCTTTCACTTTGTCCCCTTCCTCAACGTCTTTTCGGTTTGGAAACTTTATTCGATCTTTTCCAAAAAACACATTTTTTGAGTTGGGTTTATAATTCTAAAGGTGCGATATGGTCACTGAACAATTTTAGTTCATAACTAATTTCACTATGATGAATTACGAACAAAAGCGATTGAGCCGTAGCCGTAGACGAACGTATATAATTATGTCAATTTTAAAGATGAATTTTAATTCACTTATAAATTGATTGCCGGTGACTAATTCAGCGTACATTCTGCTAATTACATGAATACTTAGTTTAAAATGTAAATAAAAACGCATGAATAACAAATGAAAGTAACAATGTATTTTTATCATGCTGAAAATTGTCGAGATAAAGCGAACTTTTAGGGTGCCATTCCACCGGAGCGGAGAAACGGAGAAATATTAACCAATAAGATTGCACAAAATCATTTTGCAATCTTTTGATTTTGATTTTGTGCAATCTTATTGGTTAATATTTCTCCGTTTCTCCGCTCCGCTCCGGTGGACAGGCAGCCTTAAAATTGTATTGTCGTAGATCCATGCGTGTGCAAATTTTCAAATTAATCGCACGTCTTGAGATCGGTGAAAATAACGTTTAAAAATTACACTACGTAAAAAATGTTACTATTTAGTTTAGTTTAGGCAATTTTATTTTTCCGATAATCACAAAGTCCATACCGCGTTTATGGTCATTAAAAATTTTTTGGTATGTAAATCTATAAATGTTCGCCATCCCCATTGTAGGTTGTAAATGTGAAATTAAAAAAGCAATGTATATTTTTATTACACCTTTATATGTAATTTATTCGCCATTTTTTATTATTTGGTTCGTAAAAAAATTGTATTTTTTAAATCAATTATCATTATATTAACAGGAATCTGGCTGGTTGTGGTTTAATTCACTAAATATGTGTTCTGAAGTTTTCCATGAACATATTAGTAAATCATAATATTCACTAAGGAAAAATGTGAAGCATATAAAGCTTGTTTTGTAGTTTTTTAAGCTTCACATTTTTTCCTTTTCGAATTTATTTTTCATAGTTTATGACATTAACCTAGTCACAAATATGTACAACAATAATGATTATTTAATAAAATAAGTTAAATATCTTGTAACGTAATAAAATTATGTAATAATAACACTTGAACAACTTTCAATTTACAGAGATATTTTGAAAAAAAAAGACAAAATATCTATTGTATGTACATAATATATGTCGGGCATTATGAACTTACATGAGTTATCCAACGAGTAACAGGTTAATTTAGATTATTGAGAGATTCTTAAAAGTTTGCTTGAGAATGAAATATAACAATACATATATTCAAAAAACGGTTATTAGACAAAACATTTAAACCTAATTCTATCAGAGTTATAGAATCTTCATATAAAAATAACAATTATGTACTGAAAATAATAAAGTTACGTTTTCATATTTTAAATTCTTTTTCAATTTTCTCTACAACCATTTCAGCAATCGCAAGTGATGACGTAGCTCCTGGGGATGGAGCATTTCGGCAATGGAGTACTCTACTTCCTATTGCTCCATGTCCAGGTTTCGAATCAAAAACAAAGTCTTCTATTAATGTACCTGTTAAGTATTTATACATTAGACTAATAGTAAACAATACATAAAGGCAGCTAGTATATTTTTTTTACACCACTCAAACTATTTATAAGCGCCAATAAAGAAACGAATCTAAAAAGGCGGTGGCGATCATGCGCTCTCACTCTAAACTATTGCTGTCTTTAGTCGCACGGCGCCCACACGGCGCGTACTACATACAAAATAAAATACATATCAGTATTTCTGACTTTGTTGTTGAGTTCCAGTTTTTTCACTTTCGAGTTGTGCGACTTTGATGACTGGCAGCTAAAGTGTCTACGCAAGTTGCATGCCAGATGAGATACCTCTCCCTCTGCTAGGGCATAAAGTAAAGTACACACTCATTTGTTTTTTTATATTTTTTTACAATAAACAACTTTTTCTTTCTATCTTTCTTTTTATTTGTTGACCCTACCATCTGTCAGTGCAGGTACATAGATGCCATTTTCGATTCGTTTATTGGCGCGGCTTATTTAAGAAACAATGAAACTTCATTATCAAAAATGTAATGTTTCGGTTTATTTAATTTGCTTTTTATAATGGTGGTGGACATAACAATATATTTTTTAACAATGACAATGCCACTTAGTACTTCGCACGTTAAAATTACTTCAAGTTTGTAACGAGGGTTATCTATTTATGATATCTTATCGAGGGGTGAAAGGCTAGGTATTTGGTTTAGGCGACATTTCGCTTAATACGCGACATTTATCTTAGTAATTAAAGGTTAAAGGTTTACTTGGTATTAGTATTAACCACTTGAGTTTTTTACTTAAACTTCAATAAAGTTTATCCCTTACAAATAGCTGAAGTTTTGTTGTTATGATATTTTTTTTCAAATTTTAAACTTGAAATGGCTCTCCTGTATAGTTGCATAAATGTCACATAATTAGCCTTTCACTCCTCGATATGAATTTTTTTCTGAAGTTGTGAATATATTCTAGATTAAAAATGTTAACTTTTGCCCTAATAATATTCGAAACATTAATTATTTGCGTTGCTACCTTAGGCGTACTACTATTACCATTAGGTGCTTCACTAATGGTTAATGGTTACCGTGGCTCATGGACGTCAGTAATGTCAGTAATGCCAATATATACAGTAGGCGCGCGAGTTCATGTCCATCCTGAGGAATGCGGTAGTGCTGTAACCTAGTTAATTATGGTAATGTCGATAAAAACTACCGGTTTTGTCAACAGCGGTCAATTTGGTTTAATGTAACTTAAGGTAATTTTGCAATTTATGAAGTAAAATAAATGTGTTTTTTTTTTTATATCTAATAGAGAAAAAAATTTAAATTCCAATTCAATCACTATCAAATGAAAAGACAACCGACAGATCAGAGTCGGAATCAGTATGTATCTTTTTTTCTATCTGAACTTGTTGGAAGCGGAGTAGTCATGGTTAAATAACACAATAGCGTGAGTGTACATTTTCGATATCGATAAGCGCGCGTCACAACCGTCAAGGACAACACTCGACGTCAAACAAATGCGGGAAGGCGGGCGAAGGTGGGGCGAGGTGTCCCCCGCGCGTCGCCTCTGGCCCCGATGGACATGAACTCGCGCGCATACAGTATTAGGGGTATATACAAGCTGTTCTTTATCACTATTAATATAAGTTTTTGGCCAAACTCATTGGTTCACATACCATCCTTAGCCATTGCTTGCGCCCTAACACCAGCTGGACCCCTTTCAACATCTGCTGACGTTATTTCCTGTATATACTTCCGAACTTGCATAACTTGTAGAGGTGTTATAGCCGATCTTATCATTTCCTTGATACCAAAACTAGCATATTTCATAGCCATTTTGCGGAATCCGGAAAACCCAATAATTTCTTTAAGTTCCTGCATATTATAATCGCCCCACCTGAGAACAATAGAATCGATGGTAGTAATCAATACTAGTTTAACATATTTATCATTAATTTACAATAACATCGACACAGCCTAATTTTGCGTGTAAAAAATATAAATTTTATTAAATTTATTTCATACTAACAGGAAAAATTACACACATTTAAAGCATAACCGTGATAACTGTTAAAATACATAAAAATTATATATGTTGATTATTTTACTGCATTATTAACTTTTGTGATAGTTATTACTCACCTATATCCTTCTTTGCAAAATGCTAAAATCGCATTTGGTCCTACAATAACTCGGCCATCTATTCTTGGTGTTAAATGAACACCCAGAAATGGGAACCTAGGGTCAGGCACAGGGTATATATTGGTTTTGGTCAATTTACTTTTGTTTGGAACCAAATAAAGGTATTCACCTCTAAATGGTATTATTTTGGGTTCTTCTGGACACCCTGTTAAAACTGCCACTTTATCGGAGTGCAGTCCACAGCATGTGAGGACATATTTTGCATTAATAACATTATTTTCTGTATCAATTATTTTTACAGGATACTCAGCAGACTCAGCTTCTATAAATTTCTTTACTTCAAAATTTAGATAGGTTTTGCCACCACATTCAATAAAATCTTTAACATAGGAGTCTGTAACCTGAGCCCAACTAACAATACCTGTATGAGGAGACCATAATGCCTGTAATCCTTTGCAATGTGGTTCAATTTCTTTCATCTCTTTACTATCCATGAGCTGTATATCTTTAACACCATTCTTAAGTCCCCTTTCATATAAATCAAAAAGTCTAGGAACTTCTGATCTCTCTGTTGCCACAATAAGTTTACCACATTTGGAATACTTGATTCCTTTCTGATCAAAATATTTATATGATAAGTTCAGACCTTTGACACACAATTTTGCTTTAAGGGAACCAGGTTTATAATAAATACCTGCATGAATCACGCCACTGTTATTTCCACTTTGGTGGAAGGCAAATCGGTTTTCTTTTTCAACTAAAGCAACCTTTAAATGTGGGTGTTTTAATATTAACTCCCTGGCTGAAGCAGAGCCTACTATGCCTCCTCCAATCACTGCTACATCAAATTGTGAAGTATCACCTGCACCTGCACTGTATCTAGAATAACAGTATTGCAAAATTATAGAAATTTCTGGTAAGAAAAAACTTAAATTATTACCAATACTCTAATGGTCGTTTTATTTTCTTACATAATAATTCTATTCAACATATTATCTCTTTGTATATTGGTATTCATGTTATCTTTAAGAATTATTATTATCGTAATAAATTATAATTGGGTACTGCATGATGACATAGCAATATGACATTTCAGTAGAATCCATTTTTTTTTAAATTATTATGAGTAAATTGCTCAACTTCCTATGTGTTGGGGATGGGGGCATATCAGAGTTGAATTGATTAAAACCCCTAGTCACTCGTCAACTAGCGCCCAGGTCTTGAATGAGACAAAACTCATCAACTTGAAGGCATATTTTCCTGCCACCACTGGACACTGAGCCAGGCCTCTCAGAAGCCTGCTTTGATGATGTGACCAACGTGTACCCTCAGAATCCCTTACTACTGAATCATCATCATCGTGTTCCAACCATCGGGATCATCCCCTACAGCTTGAGGACCCATTGAATGAAGTGAGAACCTAACCACGGTACAGAATGAGGCTAAGATACTTCAGCAAAACCCAAACCTTGAAGTGGACACCTCTAACTACGATGTGAGAATTCAAAGGTTGCACTCTTGAGCGGCTCGTGAAACTACAAGACCTGGAACTTTCTAAGCACCCATTGGAGGCCCGGTTTAATACGGCCAAGCATGAGTGCCTCCCCAATAGTGGTTGGGTGAAGTGTTTGGAGTATTTTTTTAACTTTTTCAGGAAGTTCTTGGACATGAGGAGCACTTTGGCTATGCTTTTGAAATTGTCAACACCAGTTTTGACTGAAAACCAGGTGTTATAGACTCTTATGACCTATAAAAATTTTGTACTAAATGATAAAACTTAAGTTTAATGACTTGGTTTAAAATATATTTTATTGGAAGAACTGAGAGAATGAATTGCCTGACTCTTCATCCCTTAATGATGGATCTTTTATGTCAAATATGCTGTATATTCTGGATTTTAAGAATTTGGAGTCATTTGCAAATTATACATAAATTCTCCAGTATACATCGCAATTGAAACTAAGTTCTTCTGTTTCTAGGCTGGTGGCGGATTCAGGTTGTGATACCTAGAGGCAACAACATAATTCATAGGCCATGGTTCCTAATATCCAACAATATACTAAAAATGACTACATTGTGCATTTAAGTCACACTGAAGGAAGGCTTATGATCTATCCCATAAGTGAATAAGTTCGCTTATAGACGAGATGTTTGGAAAAAGCTAGATTTACCAGAATTGTCTTTAAAAGTACCTTCGTAATGTGCCAGTGGTAACAGGATGACGATAATTAAAATTTAGCAAAAATCGCACGCATTTTTTCGCTATTGCCATTTTTCTCTCTTTCGGTTTTTATTTTCCTATTTTAACTTGTAAGTATCCTAATATTCCCAATTCCATGCAATGTTTACATTTATTGACAAGACAAAATTGACAAATGACAAACCGGCAAATGGGGTGATTAGGAACAAATTCCAACTTTATGAACAATTTTAATTGCTGATGTATATAATGCTATATCAGGATCAAAATGATTGTCTTTGTTATCCATTCTCCAGTATTCCAGTTTAAGCAAAAAAGCAAAAATATGTGTAATCACTATTTGGCCGGAAATTGCGGTTAATGGGGACAAAATTAGTGTTTAATAGAGAAATTTGCTAGGGTTGGCAGTGCTTGGTTTTATTTTATTTATTTATTTAGTTGCACCAACAAAGTGATCATCATTAAAAAACATTGCAAAAGTGAGAAAAGTACATGACAGATGTCACCTTATTATAGATGCAATCGACAGTGCATTGACAACAAAAATAAAAAATAAATAAAACTAAAACTTCATTACATTTATTTACTTATAATAAATTTGTATTTACTTGGAAAATATAATAACCAGTGACTGATTTTTCGTGTATTGCTGATTTTTCCTGTAAACCTGTTGTGATTCAATTAGAAAAAACATCTATTTCATCACTTAAAATGACTTCAGCGCAATCGGACAACTCCGAATTAACATTGACGGAGACCGCACTATCGTGGATATTTTTAAGGGAGAGTAAGCACCTAAATTCGAACGAGTGGGCTTTCTTAAAAGCGATTTATATTTCTTCGTTCTTAGTAAGTACTTAGGGACTGATATTTTTATCTGCGTTAAGAGATTAGGTGTGTCCGTTATTCCATGGATTAATTAGGTGGATACCCCCACTCTGAACAAATATTAAATATTTTATTATGTATTACTTAGACATTTTTGTCCACCTTGAGATTTCATTGTTCTTGTTAACATGTCTGTGCAAAACCGACTTACTTATGTTAAATTGTTTAGCTATTTCAACTAAAGACCAATTCCTAATTTCATAGGCTTCTATTACTGTTTTTAATATTAAGTGATCATATCTCTTATAAGCATTTGCATTCTTTGCGAGGCATAGCTAAAAAAAGTAACAACATGTAACTGATAATATAAATATTTGCCAAACAATAACATAACACTGCATTGATAATTTTGAATAAAAGTTCTAGACAAAAACATCATGAATAAACCAGATTCTTACCAACAAATTAAAAAAAATTTGATATAACTCCACAACCCTACAAACCTGTACCTATTTATACTTAGGTCGTCTCCATTTCACTTATTTACATCCCAATTGACCCCTTTTTCGTTGTTCTTTGTACCTTGTACCTGAGACGTCCTCAATATCCCCAAAAACAACAGATTTTTATATGTATTTTTATTTTATCAAATACATTAACACAAATAACAACTAAGACTTACCTTTAATATATATGATGGTTCAAACACTAAATTGCGTTTATAAATCACAGTCGTCTTCTATTATTATAAAATAAATAAAAGAGAGCAAAGTTTCTAGCACTAAAATAATTACCACCACAAGAAGTTAATGCGATTTTTTATAAGTTAGCAGCTATTATCGTGTATATTCAGAGTTGTTTTGTGAACTTTCAACATTCTACTATTAAACTACGAAAAATGGAAGATTTTGCAACGAATATAAAACTAATATTGAGAGACGAAAGATTTTCCTGGTTTTTTCCCCATTCACCTCTCAATCCCTAATCACCCCATTTTACGGAACTCAATAACCCTCCGACTCCACTCCATAGTACTAGTTATGTTTTTTCAACTGGAAAAGCAAAAGTTTTTTACCATACACTATACATTTTTTATATTTATATTTAATTTTATATGGAAAATGATAATATGAAGTGAAATGAAATGAAGTTGATTAATATGAAACATGGTATGATATGGGTGAAATATAATCTCAGTAAAATGGTGGTCATTTATTGAAACTTTTTCACTTTTTGGAGAATCCCGAGAAGTTACGTTTTTTTAATGCTTAGTTGAGTGGACGAGCTCACAGCCCACCACACTCATGAATGTTAAGTGGTTCCTGGAGCCTATTGGAGTTTGAATAAGTAAGTAATGGCAGGCAACACTTGACATATGTAAGGTTACAGATTTCGAATATTGGAATGCTTATTTAAATGTTTAAAAGACAGATAATTATTGTTTTCTCTTTAATGATGACAAGGACTTCTCATCTAAACACGGACAGTGCAACATCTTAGGGTTTTATAATAATAAAATATTGTAATAGTGTAAGAGTGTACAAAGTATTTGTAATATAATTATATTAACCACTTTTAAATAGTCCCTCACCTACAGAACCCAATCCCCTCAAATTTAACCGTCTAACAGAGCCCATAGACATCTACAACGTAAGTGTGCCACCCTTTTTGATATATAAGTTCTAAAGTCTCAGTATAGTTATAACGGCTGACCCACCCTTCAAACCGAATCGCATTACTGCTTCACGGCAGTAATAGGCAGATACCTACCCATGCGGTCTCAAAAAGGTTTTATTATTTTTTTATTAATCTATTTTTTTGTATTTATTATTATTACACTAAAAGTGTTTTAGTATCCCATATTGGTACACTGTCACAGATACTAAATAGTTAATAAACCACCGTTATTACGCATTTTAAGCCTGAAGAAACACTAAATAGACAAAATAAAACAAATCACCTCACCTCACCTCACCTCACCCACTTCACTTCACCTCACCCACTTCACTTCACCTCACCACAACACCTTAAAATAAGACTTGACCTAAAAGCCTTAGTTACCAGGTCATAAAATTCCTTTAAAACATAGATTAAGCAATTAATTTATTCGACTTTAAAAAACAAATTCCGTTGTTGTGATTACAGGGCGACGAGTGTACAATAAAATTAAGTGATATATGAAGTTAGTGTCTTTTATGTGTATTATCTATGAGTTAGTGGAATTTTAATTATAAACATGCAATACGGCATAAGTTGGAGTCTCCATAAAAGCGATTTAAGCAGCGGTCTTGCACAGCTACAGTTGGTAAGTCAAAATTTGACTAATTTAACATTTACTTAATTCACTACATTATTCATTATTCTTACTATTCTTTTTCATTATATCGTTACTTCATTATTTTCATGTGCAAAAATGAAATTATGTAAATTTAATCATTCATACATAATATACTTATCGTCAATCGGATTATGTTTGGTAGGCTACATAACTAATGTAACTAATACCTACCTAAAATAAATATGCAGTCCGAAGCAGGAATGAAAAATATATTGAATAGCCATCAATGATTTAGTATCTAGATATCTACTATGTAAAAAATTTTAAGTCTGTTTTTAAGAATATTATCATATTTTACCATTACAGAATGAAGAATTCGTTGATATGACACTTGCAGCTGAAGGCCATTTAGTTAAAGTTCATAAAAATATAGTGGCACTTGCTAGTCCATATATTAAGGAAATGATGAAGGCAATTCCATCCCCTCACCCAATTATATTCTTAAATGTGAGTGATTTAAAGATATGTACTTACAAATAATTAGGAAATACCAATAATAAATCTGATTTTTTCTAGAATGTTAGTCATCAAGTATTAAAATACCTATTGGAATACATTTACACAGGAGAAGTACAAGTGCCAAATAATGTGATTAATTCTTTCATTGAAACGGCAAAATCTCTTTGTATAAAAGGCGTTGAACAAATTTGGACTCCAGAAGTAAATAATGATTACAACAAACAAAATGATTGTAGTGAGATATTCAGAGACCCAGTGGAATCGTCAGTTCAGAACGTAAGCTTTTGTAGTCAACAATTACATATTTTGTATTAAAACTATTGCTCATGAATTTTATAGTGTACAAAGTTACAACTAAAATATTATGTAACTGTCTCATTCATAAGGATTCTAATAATAATATTACTAGTTGCCCAAGCAACACACAAAGAAGACCTCCATATTGTTTATGAGCAACAGTGTTCTGCTTTGAAGAGTAGCATATTTATAATTCTGATGGAATTTAGAGGTCATTGTGGTGTAAAGGATAAGATGTGCATACATATCAAACAATAAGACTGCTGGTGTTTTAATCCTGCAGACATATATAATTTTCTGATGAAATACATACTTAATAAATGTTTATGATTGACTTCCATGATGAACTATTACACACTAAAGTCTCAGTCTGAAGTCATTTACTAATTTTATTATTTGTAAGTTTTAATTTTTTTTTTAAGTAATTCAAATTTTTTATTTTATTTAGGATATTCCATCTGGTACTTTAGAAATACAGAAGCTAGAAAGGTATTACTACTAATACTTAACTTACAAATTTTGATTTTAGAAATCACTCATATACTTAATGTAAATGTATTGTTACAGTAATGTTGCAGCCCAGATAAGAATCAGTGATAGAAATGTTTTTGAAATAATCCCAGTAACACAAAGTAATGAATTAAGTTCAATAACTTCAAACAATATGCAAGCTGACAAAGATTTCAATGCATTTAGCAATAATGAAAATATTAATGAAGAAATTGCTGAATTTGATCTAATTAATATTAGCCAATCAAATTGTGAAAATGCAGTAGATTCACATAAACAACCAATTAATGAAAGTTTTACGCCTAGCATATGTATAACTTATAATAATGATGGCAACAACCAACCAACTACAGCTGATATTAGTATTTCTGAAATAGTACAGTCAGAGAGAAAGTCATATAGTCCCATAACTGATATATTAAAAGAAAATATCAAGGACATTATCAAAGCGAGAGGTATGTTATGTCCTAGGTGAATATTTTAAATAATACTTAATTAATACCAGAAGCCATGGTTCGGCCGTCTAAAATAAATGAAATTTAGTGAATTCTTTTAAACTGGTTTGATCTGTTAACTATAGGTAGGTCCTGAACTCTATTTGTAATATACGTTTATTTGTGAGTACCACAGCAAAGTATTGATATTAAATAAATATAGCAGTAAATATAGCAGCTATAAAGAATGCTTTGATTGTAATTAAGTAACATTTAGTGAACCACGATTTTGCTTCGCTGTGACTGTTGCTAAATATAAGAAATCACAATTTGTCAAAACAATTAATGTGCCAATAGTTTTATGTTGTGATACAGTATGATAAAATTGACTCTTCACTATAATTAATTATTTTTATAGTCCTTATAGGCATTTGATCTACCTGATGATATCATTATTACTTTTGGACATTAACTATACTAAGGGTACAACTAAGCTACGACTTACATTGTTGAGCCATGTGCTTACATTAGTAATGGCAGGGACTTAAAAATAGTATCCAACTTAACTAAAGAAATGTAAATTTATATGACATAAACAAATGAACAAAAATTTGATTTAAGACACTACTCTGCCATAAAAGATCTTGATGTTGTTTTAGTGAAAAGTTGCTGACGACATTGTACCATGAGCTTTGACTTCAGAGCTATAATAATAATATGACTTTTTAAGAAATAAAAAGAAATACATCAGTTTTGGTGTACTTTTTCATCTCTGATGTTTGTATATTATTTACATCCATAATTATATAATATAATCCTGATTTTGGTAATATCAAACTTTAAAAGTTAATTTTTAAATATAATTTAAAAAACTATTTTTAGCTTTAACACCACTCTACACAATATCAAATAGAGGGTCACTCCAGTTGATGTTGAACCGATACATGTATTGTTGTCACCACCAATCATTCAAAGGTAGAAAGCGGCGATGGCGATGTGTGGATTATCGGACAAAACACTGCAAAGCACTAGTGGACACTGAAGATGAAACTATTACAAGAAGGTAGGCAAGTGATTTATACAGCTACTAACCTATCGTGATTCAGTTTGCTTGTATCAGTTGTTTGATGGTGAACCAATATTAATTGAAGCTTACTATTTTTATCTATGGTACATCCAAAAACATTAATTTTGAAAACAATTGCATGCAGGTGCATGTATTATCTGGTGAAAAATACAATCGTAATCGATTCTAAATTATAATACTTCTGCTTATTTTATTTTCTGTACAAAATCATCCAAGTGATCACGGAAATCTGCCTGTTTCTGTTGCGAAGCAGCTGTTCGTGTCGTTAAAAAAGGCAGGACAACCATTATAAAAAAATGCTAAACTTTGATCACATATCTCAAGGAGAAAAGGCAGTTGCTATTCACATGATATCTGTGGGCTTCGGTAACCACTGGTCATCGGCTAGTTCGTGATTTTAAGTGCCGATCTAGAGTCCTTAATAAAACGTATGTCTATTCAAATGAAGGTAAGCTTCTAAGCTTGCTCTTGGATATATTATGTCATTAGATTATAACAGATCAATACCAGAAGCATGATTAACGTGAAAATATTATTTCAGGTCAGGCTGCCATAATCATTCATATCATGACAGTAAAATTGTAAAAAAATATAAAAAATGTTATGTTTACACTAAGATAAAAGACGCTGAAGATTCCTGTCTCAAGCATGTAAAAAACTGAAAACAAGCGTTTGGACATATGGAGCAGTAAGCAGCAGTTTCGTAGCATGATTGTGATTGTGTGAACGAAGAGGATACCTTAAGATAAGATGTGCCGTATTGTAAAGCAATCGCAACATCGTTCCGTTTAGAAACGTGGGGCTATTCGATTAGAAATTACACAAGGTTTCCGATTTTGATTAGTAACTAAGTTATATCTAATATAAATTGAAATAACATTAAATTAAACCACGAAAATAACCTGGAAATAAACTGCAAACCTACAGAATATGTAGGTACTGAATTAGGAGAATAGCCTCCAGATATTCATCTTTCCGTACGAGTACCTATTGTTAACTATATGAAGTGTAAGATTCAGATTAAGTCTTCTACTCTCATATAACAATATTTTTACATAAATAAATATTTGATATAGCGCTTTGTTTGAATTATAGTTTATTCCTTTCATTGCTCTTGTAGGTTAAATGAGCTACACTTTCTTAATTCAATTCAATTCGCATAAAGTGTTGTTATGTACTGTACTTAGTGCGAGTTTTTTAACGTTTTCGATAGCGTAAAAGTTAGCTCATATTTGTATGGAACAGGATCGTTTGCCTACGTTTGCCGTTAGGGGCGCTGTTCCAACTGTATACAAAATTGGGTTGACTTTTACGCTATCGAGAACGTTAAAAAACTCGCACTAATCACTCTAATCGCAACTGAGACGAAATATGCTGCCAATAATTATGATAAGACGCTAGGCGAACTAATAAGCATAGAATGAAATAAGTAGTCGTCGTGGCCGGCCAGATCACCCTCTCTGGTCAACCATTACCTACTCGGGGCCGTGAAGGTCAGTTACCTAAAAGTCACACTCGATAGAGGGATGACCTTTTCATAACCCGACCCTCCCGACCTCCGATGGCGGAATAGCTAACAACCGACGTCGCCCGCGACATGTCCTTTCGGATCCTCTCAGTGCTTTTAGGCATTAAATTTCTCGTCAGATAACCTCATTGCGTCCCGATTTTAATCAGGCAGTAAGTAGATTCAGCGAAGCATTACACGTCATCTCGGATCTCTCCCTTTCCCGATCCACTAACGGTGCTGCGTCGTATTCCCCAGTGCTGAGGGTCGTGACTTTTACAGAGCACTTTTGTTAGGACTATGTTCCTCCATTCATTCCTGTCCTCCGCGCAGTGGATAACGACATTAATGCTGGAGTCCAAATTCGTCTTAATCTGATCGGACCAGCGCATGGGACTACGCCCCCTAGGCCTCTTTCCTTCCGCTTTGCCGGTGATAAGAAATCTTTCGAGATTATCACCCTTTTTCTTTGCAACGTGACCGAAAAACTATAAAATCCGATGTAGGCAAATGGTGGAGTCTTGTGGAGACGCCTAGTTCTTCCAGGATTGATGCGTTTGTCCGGTGCGCCGTCCAGGAAATCCGCAGCATTTTCCTCCCGCACCACATCTCAAACGCGTCGACCCGACTTCGATCAGCCTTCTTCAGAGTCAGAGTCCATCAAGCTGAGACATGGTACTTTTTGCTATCCCGATACGTCTTCGTATCTCCGGCTCGCATGTGTCCCCATGATCTGTAAGCGGAGTAAAATGTCCCTTCGGAACAAGGTGACACTTTACAAAACTTGCATTAGGCCCGTCATGACTTACGCGAGTGTGGTGTTCGCTCACGCGGCCCGCACACACATAGACACCCTCCAATCTTTACAATCCCGCTTTTGCAGGTTAGCCGTCGGAGCTCCGTGGTTCGTGAGGAACGTTGACCTACACGATGACCTGGGCCTCGAATCTATCCAGAAATACATGAAGTCAGTGTCGGAACGGTACTTCGATAAGGCTATGCGTCATGATAATCGCCTTATCGTAGCCGCCGCTGACTACTCCCCGAATCCTGATCACGCAGGAGCCAGTCACCGTCGACGCCCTAGACACGTCCTTACGGATCCATCAGATCCAATAACCTTTGCATTAGACGCCTTCAGCTCTAACACTAGGAGCAGGCTTAGGGACCTCGGTAACCGTACTCGTCGAACTCGACAAAGAGTTCGCCGTGCAACCTAACCCATGAATCAGCTCGCTGAGTTTCTCGCCGGATCTTCTCAGCGGGTCGCG